CAGCTGATGACTGGAGCCGGTCAGGGCCTGGGCATAACCCCGCCATGGGGCCCTAGCACCACGGAGGATATAGTTTCTATAGTTTCGTGTGTGCTGGAGGATAGCGGTGGGGCGTAGGGTCGTGTGAACAGTGGTCTCCTGGGTGTAAGTGGTGATGCTAGGGCTGGGCATCGGTGTCCCCTCCTACCAGCAGTCCCTTCTCCCCTGCTGAGGTTTCCTCTAGGGCTGCTGGGAAGACAAGGGAGGCTGTTGCTGTTCACAGATGCTGGGTGCTGGTAGTGGGGTTCTGTAGGGTGCCCCTGCCGAGGATGTACCAACAGATATTTTGGTATAAGTATGTCACTGTGTTACCTCAGGGCACGTTGGCCCTTGATGCCCTCTCCTTTAACTGTAGACCCAATGGCTTTGCTTCAAGGTAGGAGAGTTCTGTTGAGTAGGAGCATGACACAGGTAAAGACAGCTCACACGGGTCCATGCTTCCTCTGTTTCGGGCACTATGCCCAGTGGTTTTACTGAAAATCCTCACAAAATGCTTCCGGGGGTGGGGGGTTGTGTACTCTTGGCATTGCCTTGTAGGTTGGCGAACATGGCTTACTGACTCAAGGTTAGAAATGTGCATGGAGCCCTGGGGTGGAGTGGGCTATGCAGTTCCACCGTGTTCCCCCGGAACACAAATTCCATCTGGCGGGGAGGTGGCTGTCAGTGGGGTTGACAAACCTGACCCACGTCCACTCTGTTGGCTGAGATCTGGTGGAGGAAGAGGAGGGCTGGTGTTCACTGGTCCTGGCTCTCGATCAGGCCAGGCTCTCTGGGATGCCTCTGGCACTCCTGCCCTCAGAGGCCGCGCCTATCATCTTCGTTTCCTTCTTTCCACCCTCCCTGCAAACCCAGATCTGCTGTTTCAGAACTAGAGACCTGGTTTGCCCACTCCCCTCCCTGCCTTCTCATCTCCGGCTGCACCTGCAAGGACCCTCTCATCCCCATCTGCTCATGAGTGTGGACACAGTCCTTGAATGGCTCCAGGTCAGAGGTCTGGAAGACTAGTCATACAGGGAAGTTTCTGGCATCCTAAGGGCTTGGGTACTATAATACTGGAGGGGCTATGGTGCAGAAGACAGGAGAGACTTCCCAGATAGTTGGGTAGGGGCATCTAGTTGGTCCTCAGTCAGAGCAGAAGCCGTGAGCTCTCAGGAGGAAGAATCGCTTGTAGAAGAGCAGGGAGAGGCTGGAGGGGCAGCCTTCTCATTCTCACCTTCATCCTCAGCCACACCAGAGGTTGTTAGTCTTTTATTGACCTTTGGGAATTGTCTTAAGCTGGGTTCTCTAGAGAAGGAAAACCAGTGGAGCTTATGCATTTATATGTGCAGAGAGACTTGTTGAAAGGAAATGGCTCACCCAGTTGTAGAGGCTGGCAAGTTCCAGATCCATGGGTCAGATGTCAGACTGGAGGCCTCTCCTGACTCACTGCTGCTGGGACTGAAGAACCTACCACCGGCAAGTCAGACAGCAGGCTGCTGGCTGCAGAGGTGGAATGAAGTCAAGGTCGGCAGGTAAAATGTCAGGTTTCTGATGACTCTCAGGATTGGTAGGCAATGCAGCTGGTCTGTGGCTCAAGTCCAAAG